AATATAGACATGTAAGGCATGGCAACGTTTGGAAGACACCTGATTGGGCGACGGGCAAACGCAATGCTGAGTGTATCGATCTTGAGGTACCGTGCCGAGGGCTGTGCTGTGCTGCGCTGTGCTAAACTGCTATGTGCCATGCCGCGATTGTGCTCTATAGCGTTGTGGATCGAGTCCTCCTTCGCATCCGAGTCCTGACCGAACTGATCTGGATCTTAAGCTCGAGCTGTCTCAGCACGTAGTAGCTGCCCCAGAGCTAATTGACAAGGAGACATGCCAGGAGGACGCGGCGTGGAACGTCCCAAGGGACGCGCCAGGCGACGTGCCAAGGGACGTGCCACGAAGACGCACCACGGGACGTGCCGAGGGGACGCGCTACGGAACGTGCCAATGGACGTGCCACGGGACGTGCCAGGGGACGCGCCGCGCGACGTGCCAGGGGGACTCGCCACGGGACGCGCCACGGAACGTGCCAAATTGCAATGCTGAGTGTATCGATCTTGAGGTACCGTGCCGAGGGCTGTGCTGTGCTGCGATGTGCTAAACTGCCATGTGCCATGCCGCGATTGTGCTCTATAGCGTTGTGGATCGAGTCCTTCTTTGCATCCGAGTCCTGACTGAACTGATCTGGAGCTTAAGCTCGAGCTGCCTCAGCACATAGTAGCTGCCCCAGAGCTACTTGACAGGGGAGCATGCCAGGAGGACGCGCCGCGGAACCTCCCAAGGGACGCGCCAGGCGACGTGCCAGGGGACGTGACACGGGGACGCACCGCGGGACGTGCCGAGGGGACGCGCTACGGAACCTTAAAATGCGTGGTCCTTGCTCGGAGCAACCATGTTAGATATTCCCTGGATGGCCTAGACACATTAGAACACATGGTGCCAGATCGGGAAACCATGCTATATACACCCCTGGATAGCCTGGACTCGTTACAACACATGGCCCTTGCTCAGAACAATCATGTTAGATACCCCCCTCTAGGTCGCCTGGATACGCAAAAACACGTGATTCAAGCTCGGGGCAACCATGTTAGATATCCCCCTGGGTGGCCTGGACAAGTAAAAACATATGGTTCCAGCTCGGGACCACCATGTTAGACACCCCCATGGGTGGCCTGCACACGTAAAAACACGTGATCCAGCCCACCCAGGGGGGGGATATCTAACATGCGGTCGTCTGGAGCACAGGAGGGCCCAAGAACGCCCAGAGGCGCCTGGAGGCCAAAAAGTAAACGAATCGATACCACATACAAATAAACTCTCGACGTTCCGTTCCGAGTCCCAGGAAGGATCCTGGAGGCCCATGTTAGATACCCCCTGAGTGGCCTGGACACGTGAAAACACTTGGTTCCAGCTCGGGACCACCATGTCAGATACCCCCTGGGTGGCGTGGACACGTGAAAACACGCGGTTCCAGCTCGGGACCACCATGTAGATACTCACCTGGGTGGCCTGCACACGTGAAAACAGGTGGTTCCAGCGCGGGACCACCATGTTAGATACCTCATGGGTGGCCTGGACACGTGAAAACACGTGGTTCCAGCTCGGGACCGCCATGTCAGATACCTCATGGGTGGCTTGGACACGTGGTTCCAGCTCAGGACCATCATGTTAGATACCCCCCTGGGTGGCGTGGACACATGAAAACACGCGGTTCCAGCGCGGGGCCACCATGTTAGGTACACCCTCTGGGCGACCTGGGCACGTGAAAACACGTGGTTCCAGCCCGGGACCACCATCTTAGACACCCCCTGGGTGGCCTCGACAGGTGAAGCACGTGGTTGCAGCTCGGGACCAACATGTTAGATACCCACCTGGGTGGCCTGTACACGCTCGGGCAGAACACGTTAGATACCCACCTGTGTGGCCAAGGAAATCCTAGAAAAAACATGATCGATCCACGAACCCGGAAAGGAATATAGAACTGTAACACATGGCAGCGTTTTCAAAAACACCTGATTGGGTGACGGGCAAATGCAATGCTGAGTGTATCGATCTTGATGTACCGTGCCGAGGGCTGTGCTGTGCTGCGCCGTGCTGAATTGCGATGTGCCATGGCGCGATTGTGCTCTATAGCCTCGTGGATCGAGTCCTCCTTTGCATCCGAGTCCTGACCGAACTGATCTGGATCTTAAGCTCGAGCTGCCTGAACACATAGTAGCTGCCCCAGAGCTAATGGACAGGGGACATGCCAGGAGGACGCGCCGCGAAACGTCCCAAGGGATGCGCCAGGCGACGTGCCAGGGGACGTGCCATGGGGTCGCACCGCGGGACGTGCCAAGGGGACGCGCTACGGAACGTGCCAATGGATGTGCCACGGGATGTGCCAGGGGACGCGCCACGCGACGTGCCAGGGGGACTCGCCAAGGGACGCCCCACGGAACGTGCCAAGGAACGTGCCAAATTGCAATGCTGAGTGTATCGATCTTGATGTACCGTGCCGAGGGCTGTGCTGTGCTGTGCCGTGCTGAATTGCGATGTGCCATGGCGCGATTGTGCTCTATAGCCTCGTGGATCGAGTCCTCCTTTGCATCCGAGTCCTGACCGAACTGATCTGGATCTTAAGCTCGAGCTGCCTGAACACATAGTAGCTGCCCCAGAGCTCTAATGGACAGGGGACCATGCCAGGAGGACGCGACGCGGAACGTCTCAAGGGACGCGCCAAGCGACGTGCCAAAGGACGTGCCATGGGGTCGCACCGCGGGACGTGCCAAGGGGACGCGCTACGGAACGTGCCAATGGATGTGCCATGGGATGTGCCAGGGGACGCGCCACGCGACGTGCCAGGGGGACTCGCCAAGGGACGCCCCACGGAACGTGCCAAGCGAGCGTGACGTGAATCCTCTGAATTCCTGCGAGCGGGACGTGAAAACAAGCATTTCGCCTGATACATCCTCTGAGTTCTGGCCACCCACGAGGCTCCCGCTCGAGACATCCCCTAATTTTGCAAAACCAGCGTTTCGCTCGAGACATCCTCAACAGATTATTAAAAAAACAAGCGTTTCGCTCGAGACATCCTGTCAATATCCAAAGAATTCCTAGCAAAACAAACGAATTAGTCGAGACATCCTCAACAAATTATGAAAAAACAAGCGTTTCGCTCGAGACATCCTGTCAAAATCCAAAGAAATCCTCGCTAAACAAACGAATTAGTCGAGACATCCTCAAAATTCCTGCGCGCGGGACGCGGCACGCGCGAGACATCCTCGGAATTCCTGCGAGCGGGACGTGAAAACAAGCATTTCGCTTGAGACATCCTCTCAATTCTGGCCACCCACGAGGCTCCCGCTCGAGACATCCCCCCAATTTTGCAAAACCAGCGTTTCGCTCGAGACATCCTCAACAAATTCTGAAAAACAAGCGTTTCGCTCGAGACATCCTGTCAAAATCCAAAGAATTCCTGGCAAAGCAAACGAATTAGTCGAGACATCCTCAACAAATTATGAAAAACAAGCGTTTCGCTCGAGACATCCTGTCAAAATCCAAAGAAATCCTCGCTAAACAAACGAATTAGTCGAGACATCCTCAAAATTCCTGCGCGCGGGACGCGGCACGCGCGAGACATCCTCTGAATTCCTGCGAGCGGGACGTGAAAACAAGCATTTCGCCTGAGACATCCTCTGAATTCTGGCCACCCACGAGGCTCCCGCTCAAGACATCCCCTCAATTTTGCAAAACCACCGTTTCGCTCGAGATATCCTCAACAAATTATGAAAAACAAGCGTTTCGCTCGAGACATCCTGTCAAAATCCAAAGAAATCCTGGCAAAACAAGCGAATTAGTCGAGACATCCTCCAAATTCCTGCGCGCGGGACGCGGCACGCGCGATACATCCTCGGAATTCCTGCGCGCGGGGCGCTTTTCTGCGTCGCGGTCGGGGCTCCAGACCCCGTTATTTGTCGAGGATTCTGCGAAAAACGCTCCGCACCCTGTTTTTTACAAAGGAAAACGGGGGTCTGCGGACCTCGTTTTTTATCGAGGATCCGAAATGGGGGGCGCATTTTCCACGAGCGGGCACGCACGAAACGCACTTTTTCAAAAAAAAAATCAGCACTTACCTCGTTATTTACGCACAAGAAACCCGCCGGCCCCCTTCAAGTAAAAACCGGAAGTAAACAATCTAAAAGAGAACCCTGGGCTCGAGCCCTTTCCGGGAACAAACGAATTAGTCGAGACATCCTCGAAATTCCTGCGCGCGGGACGCGGCACGCGCGAGACATCCTAGGAATTCCTGAGAGTGGGACGTGAAAACGAGCATTTCGCCTGAGACATCCTCTGAATTCTGGCCCCCCACGAGGCCCCCGCTCGAGACATCCCCCAACTCTGCAAAACCAGCGTTTCGCTCGAGACATCCTCAACAAATTCTGAAAAAACAAGCGTTTCGCCTGAGACGTCCTCAAAAAGAATTCCGCCGGCCCTCTTCCCGCATGTAATTTATCGCAGAATAATTCCGCCGGCCCTCTTCCCGTCAATTCCGCGGGTAAACGACTAAAAGAGAACCCTGGGCTCAGGCCCTTTCCGGGAAAAACGCACTTGTTCAACTGCAAATTCACACTTTATCTCGTTATTTATCGCGGATCAATTCTGCTGGCCCACCTCCCGTACGGGCTGGGGGGAAACCTCTAAAAGAGAACCCTGGGCCCGCGCCCTTTCCGTGAAAAATGAGCCGATTGATCCAGTCGGGTACGCATAATTCATGGACTGTGCGACCCCGCGGATCCAGAAGGTGCACGGAGGCGGACGCCTGTGTAGACTACGCGTCAAACACCTTCTCACACTGCCCCGAGAAATCGCAGCGGAATAAGCCGCGTGAGATGGAGCTTCGAGGCACCCCCAACGCTAGCATGCGGCTCGAAACATGGCGCAGGCGGCAAGCCCACGAGCAGTGCAACTGCCCCCGTTGCTCGCTCTCTCTCGTTCCAGATGCGCTGGAGCAGGGCGAAGGCGCTTACGCGAACGCATTCCTGCCCTGCTGGGGCACACGCCCCTGCAATGCGAGCTCAACTGCACGCTCCACCACCGTCGGAAACGAGGGACTCGCCATCGAGGGAGTCGGCATCGGTGGACTCGCCATCGAAGGACTCGCCATCGAAGGACTCGACGAGGCCCACGATCGACACATCCTTGCCTTTGCGGGTGGAGAGGAGCACGGTATCGACGTCGTCGGGAAACCATCCGCCCTCCTTCGGCACGAGCGATGACTCGGCATTCCCCAGCATTGGCCACTCCAACTCTCGGTTCCACATCTTCACGTCTCTGAGGCTTCTGTTGAAGGTCTGGTCGGTGTACAGGTAGTGGCCGCCCACGATCATACGCGGCCTGTCCTGTCGCAGAGGGGCCATGCCCTCTGCGTTCTCCCCTACGAGCGCACTGTCCTTGAAGACCCGCATGTGCTCCGAAGGCGAGACCGTGCACAGCATGGTAACCTCTTCTCCGAGCTCGAAGGAATTGCTCACGGTCACGCTGAACGGCTTTTTCTCCCGAAGACTGTGAAATGCAGCAGGTCGCGCGTCAGCCCGACGGCTGTCCTCGTCGGCTACGAGGGGTAAGTCGAACACGCGGCTCCAGCTGCCGATGCCGTCCATCCTGTGGGGATGCCAGGAGCTACCGATATCGCTTCTCCTCGGACCTCTCCTGGGGTGCGTTCTGCCCAGAACTCCGAGGCGACTTCGGAGCGAACCCAGCCGCGTCGACGAGGCCTCCCCAGGACGAGCAGCGTGAAATATCCGCACCTTTCCCGCCTCGGATCCTCAGGGCGCACGTGAACGAGAACGCCCCGCCCATCCGCACGGCTCTGCTCGGCGCCGCGAGCGCCAAGTTCACCCAGTGCCTCCCGGGGGACCTCGGCCCAGTGCTCCACCAGGGGCTCCGTGGAGGCCAGGTGCAGCGCCTCGCCTGGGCCCGCCGCGCGGGGCCGAGGGCCCGCGCCGGCCTCCGCGGCCTCCCCCGCGGTCGCTCCCCGCGCGCCGTGCACGGCCAGGTGCCCAGGCATCGCTGCGGAGCGCGCCGAGGACGCGCGCGGAAGTCGCGAGATGTAGTTGGTGCAGATCCTACCTGGAATAATACGTGCAGATCCTATCTGGAATAGAGCGTGCGTACGGTCCGAGGGCGTGTGTGCGGTCCAGGGGCAGAGGCTGTGGATGGGGGACGAGGAGGAGCAGAGCCACACACACACACACGCACACACACACACGCACACACACACAAACACACACACACACACACAAACACACACACACACACACACACACACACACACGCACACACACACACACACAAACACACACACACACACACACACACACACACACACGCGCACGCGCACGCACACGCACACACGCACACACACACACACACACACACACACACACACACGCGCACGCGCACGCACACGCGCACGCACACGCGCACGCGCACGCACATGCGCACGCGCACGCGCACGCACACGCACACACCGAGCGTCGCCACGGCTGGACGCAGCTCCGAAAGACCGGCCGGGGCGGGTCCCGCGAGGGGTCCAGGGAGATTGCTCTTGAACGGATTCGGTTCGGAGGGCAGGGCGGGGTGGGGGGATGGGCGGCGGCGGCAGCCTTTCAAGTGAGCGGGGGCGGCTCCGGAAGAGGCTCGGAGACTTCCGAAAACCATGATCGGAAGCCCGCGATCCCTGTGAGATGTGCGCCCTGCCTCATGTTTAAAGGCTGCCCCCTCGCAGATGGTATCCCTTTCTGCGCGCTGCCGACAAAAGGCCCAATACGCCCCCTTGTCGGCGAGGCATGGGCGGTTGGGGGTCGACGCGCATGCCCCCTGGAGCCCATCCCCCTTACCGCTGCCCCTGATCCCAGGGCGGGACGGGGGCGGGGGAGGGAGGAGGGAGACGAGGCTGCGGTCGCCCACGTGGATCCCGACTTCCCCGGGACAGGGTGGCACAGCGCGGCGAGCCGATCTCTGCGGGTGCGTTTTTTTGCTTGCAGAGGAAGGAAGCGGCGAAGCAGCAGCAGCAGCAAGATGGGGCGGACAAAACGGACCACGAACTACATGCTGGAAGCCCGGAAAGCAAGACACTCGAGTCGGCCTGCTGGCTGCTTGGTGCAGAAAGCCCTGCCCAGAGAGGGCCCAAGATGATCGCCCCACGAACCCGGAAAGGAATATAGACATGTAAGGCATGGCAACGTTTCAAAAACACCTGATTGGGCGACGGGCTAACGCAATGCTGAGTGTATCGATCTTGATGTACCGTGCCGAGGGCTGTGCTGTGGAGTGCCGTGCTGAATTGCGATGTGCCATGCCGCGACTGTGCTCGATAGCGTTTTGGATCGAGTCCGTCTTTGCATCCGAGTCCTGACCGAACTGATCTGGATCTTAAGCTCGAGCTGCCTCAGCACATCGTAGCTGCCTCAGAGCTAATTGACAGGGGAACATGCCAGGAGGACGCGCCGCGGAACATCCCAAGGGACGCGCCAGGCGACGTGCCAGGGGACGTGCCACGGGGACGCACCGCGGGCGCGCTACGGAACGTTAAATTGCGTGGTCCTTGCTCGGGGCAACCATGTTAGATATCCCCCTGGATGGCCTGGACACCTAAAAACACATGGTGCCAGCTCGGGAAATCATGCTATAAACACCCCTGAATAGCCTGGACTCGTTAAAACACGTGGTCCTTGCTCAGAACAATCATGTTAGATACCCCCCTGGGTGGCCTGGACACGTAAAAACACGTGTTTCAAGCTCGGGGCAACCATGGTAGATACACTCCTGGGTGGCCTGGACACGTAAAAACATATGGTTCCAGCTCGGGCCCACCATGTTAGATACCCCCATGGGTGGCCTGCACACGTAAAAACACATGGTCCAGCTCACCCAGGAGGGATATCTAACATGCAGTCGTCTGGAGCGCAGGAGGGCCCAGGAACGCCCCGAAAAGTAAACGAATCGATACCAAATACAAATAAACTCTCGACGTTCCGTTCCGAGTCCCAGGAAGGATCCAGGAGGCCCAAGTTAGATACCCCCTGAGTGGCCTGGACACGTGAAAACACATGGTTCCAGCTCGGGACCACCATGTCAGATACCCCCATGGGTGGCGTGGACACGTGAAAACACGCGGTTCCAGCTCGGGACCACCATGTTAGATACTCACCTGGGTGGCCTGCACACGTGAAAACACGTGGTTCCAGCGCGGGACCACCATGTTGGATACCCCCTGGGTGGCCTGCACACGTCAAAACATGTGGTTCCAGCTCGGGACCACCATGTTAGATACCTCATGGGTGGCTTGGACACGTGAAAGCACGCGGTTCCAGCTCAGGACCACCATGTTAGATACCCCCACGGGTGGCCTGCACACGTGAAAACACGCGGTTCCAGTTCGGGACAAACATGTTAGATACACCCTCTGGGCGACCTGGGCACGTGAACACACGTGGTTCCAGCGCGGGACCACCATCTTAGACACCCCCTGGGTGGCCTCGACAGGTGAGACCCGTGGTTCCAGCTCGGGACCAACATGTTAGATACCCACCTGGGTGGCCTGTACACGTGAAAACACGTGTCTCCAGCGCGGGACCACCATGTTAGATACCCACCTGTGTGGCCAGGACACGGGAAAACGTGGCACAAGCTCGGGACCACCATGTTAGATACCCACCTGGGTGCCCTGGACACGTGAAGCGACATGGTTCCAGCTCGGGCAGAACATCTTAGATACCCCCCTGTGTGGCCGAGGAAATCCTGGAAAAACCAAGCGAATTCGTCGAGACATCCTCAAAATTCATGCGCGCGGGACGCGGCACGCGCGAGACATCCTCGGAATTCCTGCGAGCGGGACGTGAAAACAAGCATTTCGTCTGAGACATCCTCTGAATTCTCCGGCCCCCCACGAGGCCCCCGCTCGAGACATCCTCCAACTCTGCAAAACCAGCGTTTCGCTCGAGACATCCTCAACAAATTCTGAAAAACAAGCGTTTCGCCTGAGACGTCCTCAAAAATAATTCCGACGGCCTCCTTCAAACTCGTCATTTATCGCAAAATAATTCCGCCGGCCTCCTTCAAGTCGAAACCGGGGGAAACAATACTAAAAGAGAACCCTGGACCGGCGCCCTTTCCAGGAAAAACTGCCTCCGACAGCCAAGAGGTCCCCCCCCCAGCCCCGACAGGCCCCAAGAGGCCCCCAGAGGCACCCAAGCGGCCACTCAGAGGCCCTAAGAAGCCCCAAGAGACCCCCAGGAGGCTCCGAGAGGGCCTCAAGAGGCCTCCTCCTCCTCCTCCTCCTCCTCCTCCTCCTCCTCCTCCTCCTCCTCCTCCTCCTCCTCCTCCTCCTCCTCCCCTCCTTCTCCTCCTCCTTCCTCTCCTCCTCCTCCTCCTCCCCCTCCTCCTCCTCTCCTCCTCCTCCTCCTCCTCCTCCCCTCCTCCTCCTCCTCCTCCCTCCTCCTCCCTCCTCCTCCTCCTCCTCTCCTCCTCTCCTCCTCCTCCTCCTCCTCCTCCTCCTCCTCCTCCTCCTCCTCCTCCTCCTCCCTCCTCCTCCTCCTCCTCCTCCTCCTCCTCCTCCTCCTCCTCCCTCCTCCTCCTCCTCCTCCTCCTCCTCCCCCTCCTCTCCTCCTCCTCCTCCTCCTCCTCCTCCTCCTCCTCTCCTCCTCCTCCTCGCATCATCATCATCATCATCATCATCATCATCTCATCATCATCATCATCATCATCATCATCATCATCACATCATCATCATCATCATCATCATCATCATCATCATCATCATCATCATCATCATCATCATCATCATCATCATCATCATCATCATCATCATCATCATCATCATCATCATCATTCTTCTTCCCTCTCCTGCCTCTCCTGCTCCCTCCTCTTCTCCCTCCAAATGTTCCCCCAAGGAGTAAACAGAGGTTCGACCAAACGTTTGGCCGCGTGGGCGTTTCCAAAAGGCAGGGGGATGGCGGTGATTCGCCGCAGGCGTCTTCGATCATACAACGATTGCGTGCCGCGCAAGGCCTCCAACATTTCTCATAATGAACGAGTTCGGCATGGTGCTTTATGCAGACATGATCGACCCACGAACCCGGCAAGGAATGTAGAAATTTAAGGCATGGCAACGCTTCAAAGAAACCTGATCGGGCGACGGGCAAATGCGATGCTGAATGTATCGATCTTGATGTACCGTGCCGAGGGCTGTGCTGTGCTGCGCCGTGCTGAATTGCGATGTGCCATGCCGCGACTGTGCTCTATAAGGTTGTGGATCGAGTCCTCCGTTGCATCCGAGTCCTGACCGAACTGATCTGGATCTTAAGCTCAAGCTGCCTGAGCCCATAGTAGCTGCCCCAGAGCTAATTGACAGTTGGACATGCCAGGAGGACGCGCCGCGGAACGTCCCATGGGACGCGCCAGGCGACGTGACGCACCGCGGGAAGTGCCATGGGGACGCGCTACGGAACGTGCCAATGGACGTGCCACCTCACGCTAGACATCCGCCTGGGCGAACTGGACACGTGAAAGCAAGTGGTTCACTCGAGACATCCTCAACACATCTTCATGGTAGGCGTCCGTTCCAGGCCCCCAGAAAGACCCCAGGAGGCCCATGTTAGATACCCCCTAGGTGGCCTGGACACGTTACAGCACCTGGTTCCGTCATGTTAGATACCCCCCTGGGCGGCCTGGACATGTAAAACCATGCGGTTCCAATTCGGGACAATCATGTTAGATACCCCCCTGGGTGGCCTGGACACGTAAAAACACGTGGGACCAGCTCTGGGCAACCATGTTAGATACACCCCTGGGTGCCC